TACTAAAATGGCATTCCCACAATGCACTACTGGGTGCCCGATTTTTTCCTCGTATGCATACTGATGACGCACACCCATTCTCTCACATCTAGGCCTACCAGCCTTTTCCCGCTTGATTTGAAGGTGCTAGAATTTATGCGTACTAGTACGCCAATAACTCTGGCGTGTAAGACATACTAGTACACTGGAAACCCTGAAAGGGTTAATACATGTTCGTCAGTTTGTTTACATTCGTAGTATCTCTCTCGTTTACTTGTTCTCTCTTGTTTATGATGGCATCTAGGGGTAGTTGTTAGAAATGATTAAACTCGGTGAATAGGGTATGTTGATGATGATGATGATAATAATAATAATAATAATAATAATAATCTGGTGCGTTTTAAATGTTGTATATTACGTGTAGGTATGGTAGCTGAGTGAGCTACCACACCTGACTAATGCATTAAGATTACTGTACAAATATTTTAAGCTAAGTAAGTAATGAGTGCACTGTATGTGTATTTAACTTTTTTTTTTTTTAGTGCCTAGATCTATTGCTAACTTAATATATGATAGTGTAAACATTTACAGGTCTCCCTCAACATTCGTGAGGGTTAGGGGATCAAGAACCTCGCTAATGTTAAAAAATTGCGAATGTTTGGTGCCCCAATATATTGTAGGGAAATATAATACAGTACTGCTTCCTTAACTTATCAAACCATGAACAATCATAAAACACCTGAAAACATCATAAAATATTGTACTATATAGTGTAATTACATGTTATAGTTTAATAACAAATAATGAACAAACAAAACACTCACCACTCGTAAGGCCGACAAACTCTGGTGATGACATTGACGATGATGATAGTGATGATAGTTAGCCATGCAGTTACTGATGACAGTTGAATGGAAGTGATTATATGGAGTGTAACTGCATGGCATGATGAGTCTTGTGTGTGCATTCTAACTCTTCACTGCCAACGTCACTGCCGACAGGTTGAGGTTCAGGTAAGGCAGTAGGGGTAGCACCAGGGGTAGTGGAAGGCTTCCTTGTGAAGAACACTGTGATGGGCAACAGAGACCATCTTGTGGGAGATTTTGAAAAGAGGTTGCAAAGGTTGATGAATTTGGAAGGGTATGTAAAAGAAGGAATTTAAAGGTGAACATAGGAAAGAGCAAGGTGATAAGAGTTTAAAAAAAAAAATAGGCAATGAAAGGTTGGAGGGAAGGAGTGTGGAGGAAGTACAGGTGTTCAGAAACTTGGGAGTGGACTTATAGGTGGATGGTACTATGAGATGATGAGGTAAGCCATAAAAATAATGAAGGGAAAAAGTTGGGTAATTCATTGCGGCATCTGTAGAGACAAAGAACTTGGATACATTTTCCTCTTTGCCTCCATGAATAGAGTATAATGGTACCAACACTGTTGTTTAGGTGTGAAGCATGGTTTTTGAATGTTGCAGCAAGGAGTAGGTTGGAGGCAGTAAAGATGTCATGTTTGAGGGCAATGTGTGGTGTGAATATTATGCAGAGTAGTTGTGGAGTTACCGTGAGTATTTTTCAGAGAGCTGAAGTAGTTTGGACATTTAGAGAGGATAGAGAAAAAGGATGACTAGGAGGGCATATAAATCTGGGGCAGAGGGAAGGAGGGGTAGGGGTCACCCTTGGATAAGTTGAAGGGAGGAAGGTAAAGGAGGTTTTGTCTACTAGGGGTTTGGACATACAGCAGGCTTGTATGTACATATTAGATAGGAGTGGAGGCAAGTGGTTTTTATAATTTAACCCTTTCAAGGTCCAGACCCCGATCTGAAACTTGTCCACAGGGTCCAAGAATTTAAAAAAAAAAAAACTTTTGTTATTTTTTCATATGAACTGGTAGAGAATAATTTTCTGAAGGTAGTAAAACAAAAAGTACAAAATTTGATGGAAAATTGATGAAATTACACTATCACAAATTTTGCTGTATCAGTGATTTTTACACAGCAATTTTGCCCACTTTGACACCTATATTAGGCCAATTACATTGTTCCAATTAACCAAATTCTTAGCTATTTTGCTAGTATGCCTTCTATTTTATCAATTGAGCACAAGAAACTGCCCAATCAGCTGTTTCAATTACCCAATAAAGTGATCAGAAATTGGTAATTTGACCAATTTTGTACAGATTTCAAAATATTCCAGTTTCAAAATAGAGTCCAGACTAAACAATGCAGGGGCATTTCTGGTACTAAAATAACATGTCCTTTGTTCATTAGTTATGTTCCCAAGTTTTACACATGAATTCCATTTTGATTTTTTTATTCATATAAAGAATTTTTATTCACACCAAAAAATAGAAGATTTACTGTTACACAATATTATAATAATTGTATAAATAATATCAGTGCCATCATGAACGAATATTAGACCTGTTGATGTGTATTACCTGGAGTTTACCTGGAGAGAGTTCCGGGGGTCAACGCCCACGTGCCCCGGTCTGTGACCAGGCCTCCGGGTGGATCAGAGCCTGATCAACCAGGCTGTTACTGCTGGCTGCATGCAATCCAGCGTATGAGCCACAGCCCGGCTGGTCAGGTACCGACTTTAGGTGTTTGTCCAGTGCCTGCTTGAAGACAGCCAGGGGTCTATTGGTAATCCCCCTTATGTATGCTGGGAGGCAGTTGAACAGTCTCGGGCCCCTGACACTTATTGTATTGTCTCTGAACGTGCTAGTGATACCCCTGCTTTTCATTGGGGGGATGTTGCATCGTCTGCCGAGTCTTTTGCTTTTGTTGTGAGTGATTTTCGTGTGCAAGTTCGGTACTAGTCCCTCTAGGATTTTCCAGGTGTATATAATCATGTATCTCTCCTGCCTGTGTTCCAGGGAGTACAGGTTCAGGAACTTCAAGAGCTCCCAGTAATTGAGGTGTTTTATCTTCGTTATGCACGCCGTGAAGGTTCTCTGTACATTTTCTAGGTCAGCAATTTCACCTGCCTTGAAAAGTGCTGTTAGTGTACAGCAATATTCCAGCCTAGATAGAACAAGCGACCTGAAGAGTGTCATCATGGGCTTGGCCTCCCTAGTTTTGAAGGTTCTCATTTGTATGTGTGATGTGATTTGTTTACTCTTGAACATTGGTAAAAATTGAACATTTTACACTATGTTGAACTCAATTTCAAGCTATTTTCAGTGCTAAAATTAATGAAAATCATCTCTGTTTCTGTAATATATCTTCATTCTGTCAAATGAGACCAAGAAAACGTGAATGCAACCGTGAAACCCATATGAAAATACACTGCAACGTCGCTGTTTCTAACGAAAAACAGTCGCATTTTTTCTCATTATGCACTGCGTACTGCAAGATATTTTTTTATATGGTGCACACTTACCACATAGACCCATTCTATCATATCTACCCCCAAAATTACCCTCACAGCTTATCTGAGTGAGCTGAGCTCATGTAATACTACGTCACAGACCCCTGGCTTTAACCCTTTCAGGGTCCAGAGGCCAAATTTCAAAGTGTGCACCAGGGTCCAAGAATTTAAAAAAAAAAAAAAAATTTTTTTGTTATTTTTTCTTATGAAATGGTAGAGAATCTTTTTCTGAAGGTAATAAAACAAAAAGTACGAAATTTGGTGGAAAATTGACGAAATTATAGTCTCGCGAATTTTGATGTGTCAGCGATATTTACGAACTGGCGATTTCGCCGACTTTGACTCCCATTTTAGTCCAGTTACATTATTCCAGTCGACCAAATTCTTAGCTATTTCACTAGTATTACTTCTATTCTATTGATTGAATGCAAGAAATCGCCAAGTCAACTGTTTCAACTACAAAATAAAGTGATCGGAAATTGGTAATTTGGCCAATTTAACACAAAGTTCAAAATATTCCAATTTCAAAATAGGGTCTAGAGTAAACAATGTAGGTATTCCTGGTACTAAACTATCATTTTCTCTGTTCATTAGTTACATTTTGAGGCTTTACAAATGAGTTCCATTTTGATTTTTTATTCACATAATGAATTTTTATTCAAACCTAAAAATAGAAGAGTTACTGTTATGCAATATTGTAATAATTGTATAAATATCATCACCACATTTGTGAATGTATATTAGACCCACCAGCTGGTGTGTATTAGACGTGTGAGGTCGTTTGTTTACTCTTGAACATCGGCAAAAATTTAACATTTCCTCTACTTTGAGCTCAGTTTCAAGCCATTTCCAGTGCTAAAACCAGTCAAAATTATCTCTATTTCTGTAATATGTCTTCCATTCTATCAAATGAGACCAAGAAATCTCAAATACAACTATAAAAAAGATATGAAAAAACACTGCAAAGTCGCTGTTTTAATCGAAAATCACAGTCTCAGTTTTTTTTCTCATTATACACTGTGTGCTGCAGGATTTGCTTTATGTGGTGCACACATACCACATAGATGTATTCTCTCATATCTAGGCCCAAATTTACCACTTACAGCTTATCAGAGTGAGCTGAGCTCATGGCGTAGATCTACGGTTTGGACTCGGAACATAAAGCCATAGAGCTACGACACGGACCCTGAAAGGGTTAAAGCCGTAGAACAATGGCACTGACCCTGAAAGGGTTAAAGTGCTGTTTGAATGTGAGCAGGGTAACATGAAGGGGTTCAGAAAAACCAGTTAGCTGGACTTGAATCCTGGAGGTGAGAAGTTCAGTGCCTGCACTCTGAATGAGAGGTGAGGATGTTGTGGTTTGGAGCACTTCTGGGAGTAGTATAATCAAATGAAGCATTGACTGCTCTTCTTGTAAGACGGTGATTGAATGAGTGATAGTGAAAGAGCTTTTTCTTTGTCAGGTCACACTACCTCAGTGGGAGATGGCCAGTGTTACAAAATAAAAAATTACTACATTTTGAGTGAGATGCACAACATTGACTAACAAAGTGCATGCCTAGGCATATTAAATTGACTCATGCTTTTCACAGCTTTATCATTACCTTAAATATGTATTGTACCAGCAGTCAGCTCACTCATTCACTTCTCTCATTTCAGCAGGTCTGATGAGATGGCCCTTAAACCAGGCGACATAGTGGGCATAGCTGGTAATCACTGGGATGGTTACTCCAAGGGCGTTAATCGCCGCACTCGACAAAGTGGCCTATATCCCTCATATAAAATGGAAGAGGTAGTAGATATAGCAGATTTTCCATCATATTCACAAGTTGATAAGAGAAATAGAACATAATTAGTAAATTGTTTTAGAGTAACTAGTAAATTGTTTTAAAATAATTTATATTACCTCTATTATTTCTTTGTGATATTTCTCAAGAATTACATTTTGTGCTAGTGTGAATATAGATCTTAAAAAAATAAATATTTACCATTACAAATACAGCAACTGAAGTTCTTTGGCAGCATGTGATATGCAAAAATAAGCTAACTTGTCAAACTATATGATTATACTATTTTAATAAATTGTGGGAGCTAAAAATTTGAATTTAAAATTAAATTCAAAGACAATTTTCTCATTAAATTTCTTTGTATCTTATGAAATATTTTGGACATTATTTGATTCTGAGTCAGTACTTATTCCATTTTCTTTAGTTGTAGTTTTACGGTTACAGTATTCATGTAATTTTATTCTGTATTTAAATCTGTTTGCTGATTTAGAGCAATTAATTTTTAAAATACATATACATTAATTTTTAAAATACATATACATCCTCTCCTCACTTAACGACGGAGTTCTGTTCCTACGACCATGTTGGTAAATGAATTCGTTGCTAAGCAAGGAGCATACTACTGTATAATGGTAGTGGGTTTGTGTCAACCATCTTTGATATTGTTTTAATGTCACTTTTGCACCATTTATAACATTTTTAGTATATTTTTAAACGTTTATGCAGTAGTGTACTGTACATTGTAATAAACAGAATAGGGGAAATCAGCTCACTGACCAGTATGCATACTGGTCAGAGAGCCCAGAGAGTCGTAAATATGAGTCATCAGTAAATGAGTACGTACATCGCTAAGTGAGGAGAGGCTGTATTGGGTTATACCAAGCTGTCCGCTATGAAAAGCATTAGGGTTAATTTATATTGTACATGAATTGGAATATTGCATTCATTACTCTGTTATTGTAATGGATATTTGTGTGGTTGAGAGGTTATGCTTTCTCTGTGCAGCAAGCATGAAAGGTGTCAGCCAAAGAAAACCATAATTTTTTCTGATACTGTTGCCAAAGTGGCCAAGAATATTGTAAAAAAAATTATTTATATACGTACTGTATATACATTATGGTGTGTGTGACTGTGTGTATGTGTTGTGCTTTTTAACCAGAAGTTTCAAACTTGGCTTATAAAGTAATATTAATTTTGCCAGGCAGGTCGAGAGTTCATTTATTTTTTGTATAAATATGAAAATTAGTCTGAATGCCACTTTAATATATTTCATTGATGTTAAATAGTGCTGGCTAAATTTACACTAGTCTAGATATGCTAGATAAGCTTAAGTTATTTTGCATAAAAAAATTTCAAAGTTAGATTTCTGTTAGTCTGAGGCAAAAAGGAAAAAATCATGCATTTCTTCACATAAATACATCAGTAAGAGAAATTTGAAAAAAAAAAAAAGTGAGTGTGATCATTCCTGGTTATGAAGCACATCACTATAAATATTGTATATTTATTTTCTAGGGAATAAATCTAGAATTCATGGTTAATTTTAAGGGGAAAAATTTAACATTTGGAAGATAGGTGAGAGATTTTCAGGTTGTGGCAGCTTGCATCATGAGCTGCACAAATTGTCAGGTTACAGTAAAACAAAACTGGATAAGACCAAATTTTATAAAATACATAATAACAAACACATAAATGTTAGAAATGCATTAGTCACCAGTTAAAATACAGTGAGGCAATATAGAGGGAGGTTCCTCCCACAAGTAGTGACATAGTAGCACAGTGGGTATTAACACCTTCTTCCTCATTAACCACATGCATTTTTAAAATGTATTATTTTTAAATTTATTTCAACTTTTAAAGTGGTTTAATACAGCTTTATAATACAGTGGGACCTCGGTTTTCGTGATTAATTTGTTCCAGAAAGTCTGACAAAAACCGAATTGTACAAAAACTGAAGCAATATTTCCCATAAGAAATACAGTGACCCTCGTTTTTCATAATTAATCCATTTCAGAGAGCATGACTAATGGCGAAATTGACGATTTGCGAAACCATTTTCCCCATAAGAAATAATGTAAATCCAATTAATCCATTTCAGACCAAAAGTATTAACAAAAAAATATTTTTTTTTACATGAAATATAGATTTAAATACACAGAAAACAATGAGACATGAAGAATAAAACAATAATAACATCACACTTACCTTTATTGAAGACTGTTGTTGGTGTATGAATAAAATATGTCATTACGTATGTTAGGAATTGTGGCGGTGACAGGGGAGTGTGTTTGGAGGCAGAACAAGATAATCCTTCAATATGACACTAATACAGTGGACCCTCAGATTAAGTCATCATCGGAATAAGTAAAGTTTTTTTCGTCAAAATGTTGGCTTGGTGAACATCACTGAACTCGGTATAAGTCATTCGCCCGGAGTGTGTCCGCGTGGCCTGAGCGGCCCCAACACTCCATGTACAGCCAGTGTGCCATTGTTTACCAGCCAGTGAGGACGATCCCATGTGTTCATATGATACATTTTGTATTATTCCATTCTTTTTAGTGCTTGTAACTGCTAAATAAGCCACCATGGGCCCAAAGAAAGCTTTTAGTGCCAGCCCTTTGGTAAAGGTAAAGGGCTGAGAGAGAGGAGAGAATGTGCCTTTTTCAGTGATTCTGCAATATGTACGATACTAAAGCAGCAGGAGTCTATAAAGGCTATAGCGCCAGCCAGTGATAAAGTGTAGCATTAACAGTGTAGCAAGTAAGTTAAGCGATTAATTGATAGAAAAAGGACAGCATGAAACTGACTCCTCCATTGTTGTTGGAAGTATATAGAGCTACTGACTAACACCGTCGCCTCTGCTGCTGCCTTCACCACCACTACGTAAGGCTTCTCTTTCAGTGGCCTTTATACAGTGGACCCTCAGTTAATGACGTCATCAGATAACGACACGTTTTTGCGTCAAAATATTGGCTCAGCAACAAAGAACTCGGTTAAAGTCATTCATCCCGAATGTGTCCGCTTGGCCTGAGCAGCCCGGCCACTCCATGTACAGCCAGTGTGCCTTTGTTTACAAGCCAGTGAGGATGATTCCACACTTACATGCGATACATTTTGTATTATTCCATTGCTTTAGTGCCAGCCCTTTGGTAAAGAGGGTGAGAAACACCATAGAATTCAAGAAAAAGTTGGTAGAAAGATAAGAAAGTGGTGGTGGTGGCAGACGGTGGTAGTGATGGTGGCACACCAGCCAGGGTACTTTCCCACACACCAGCCAGGGTACTTCCCCACATGCCAGCCAGGGTACTTCCCCACATACCAGCCAGGGTACTTCCCCACATACCAGCCATGGTACTTCCCCACATACCAGCCAGGGTACTTCCCCACATACCAGCCAGGGTACTTCCCCACATACCAGCCAGGGTACTTCCCCACACACATGATTTTATGTGAGTGGGACTTATGCATGAGTGAATAGAATTATCAAAGCTTATTGCTTGGGAAGCATTTAAAATTGGGTTGGGCAAATACGATTCTGTTAGTGGGATGGTTTGTGAAAGACCTGCTTAGTATGGGCCAACAGGCCTGCTGCAGTGTTCCTGCTTTCTTATGTGCAAACATTTATGGATGAACATCACCCTGACACAACTGTTGCAGGCCATGCTGACAATATCTACAATGACAATGTTGTGTCCCAGTTTAGGGAAATTTTAAAGAGATACCAGAAACAGAGCTCTCTGGACAGATATTTAGTGCCACATGTGTGCAGTGACTCTCAAGCTGGTCCTAGTGGCAGTAAAAAACAAAGAAGGGAAGTAACCCCGGAAAAGGACTTGGTACCTGAAGTCTTTATGGAAGGGGATTCCCCTTCCAAACAGTAGCACACCTCCATCCTCTCCCCTCCTCCCATCTCATCACTCATTAATAAGTCTTCAATAAAGGTAAGTGTCATTTTAGTATTGTTTATTCTGCATGTCTCATTGTTTTCTGTGTAGGGAAATGTATATTTCATGTAAAAAAATTATTTTGTTTAATATTTTTGGGGGTCTGGTACGAATTAATTGGATTTCCATTATTTCTTATGGGGAAAATTAATTTGGATAACAATAGAATCGGTTAAAGACAAGCTCTCTGGAACAGATTAATGTCATTAACTGATGGTCCACTGTACACCCAACAACAAACAACACACCACCACTCGTGACATTCTTAATGCCATATTTTATTCATTCTAGAGTATATATCATGTTTCTATGTTAATTATATTGTTTATTATGTCATATTAGATGAATTTTGCTTGATAAATAAGCCATAGAGCTGATATTAGTGTCATATTGAAGAACTATCTTGTCCTGTCTCCCAACACAATTCCTAACATACGCCAGAAACAGACCTCTCTGGAACACTTTTTTGAGTGACAGGGGTCCTAGTGGCATTAAAAAACAGAGGGAAGTAACCCAGGATAAGGACTTGGTATCTCAAGTCTTTATGGAAGGGGATTACCCTTCCAAACAATTGTAAACTCCTCCATCCTCTCCCCTCCACCCGTCTTCCATACATCACCATGTCTTCAGTAAAGGTACGTGTGATGTTGTTATTGTTTTATTCTTCATGTATCATTGTTTTCTGTGTAGGTAAATGTTTATTTCATGTAGAAAACATTTTTATTAATACTTCTGGGTTTCTGAAACAGATTAATTGGATTTCCATTATTTCTTATGGGGAAAATTAATTCGGAATTAGATTCGGGATAAGTCACTCTCTCTGGAACGGATTAATTACGTAACCCGGGGGTCCACTGTATCGACTCTATGGCTTATTCATCTATCACAATTCATCTAATATGACATAATAAACAATATTAATAACATAGAAACATGACATCCTACTACTCTAGAATGAATAAAAAAATGTCATTACATATGTCACAAGTGGTGGTGTGTTTTGTTGTTGGGTGTATAAGGGCCACTGAAAGCATAAGCTGTACATAGTAGTGGTGAAGGCCAGCAGAGGCGGTGGTGTTGTCAGTAGCCCTATATAACTCCAACAACATTGGAGGTGTTAGGTTTGTGCTGTCCTTTTTCTATCGATTAATCCTTAACTTGCTACACTGTTAATGCTAGACTTTATTGCTGGCTGGCACTGTAGCCTTTATTGATTCGTGCTGCTTTAGTATAGTACATATCGTAGAATCACTGAATCACTGAAGAAGGCACATTCTCCCCTCCTCCTCCACTTTGGTACTTTGCTACAAGTTCTTTCTTGAATTCTATCGTGTTTCTCACCTTCTTTACCAAAGGCCTGGCACTAGGAGCTTATTTAGCAGTTGCAAGCACTAAAACAAATGGAATATTATGAAATGTATCGTATAAATGTGTGGGATCGTCCTCACTCGCTGATAAACAATGACACACTGCTGATGCTTACGAAAAACGAGGGTCCACTGTAATGTAAATCCAGTTAATCCGTTCCAGACACCCAAAAATATTAACAAAAAGTACATTTTATAGAGAATAACTGTAGTTTTACATATAGAAAAAATGAGAAATAAATATAAATGACTAATGAAATGGATAAATGAACATTTAACATCACTTTTACCTTTATTGAAGGCCTCTGCTGGCCTTTATTTCAAGCCTCTGCTGGCCTTAAATTCACTAACAACAGCACTCATTCCAGGCATTTTCTTTATGAGATCTGCATGCAATTGCCTTGCCTTTACGCAAATTATCAACTATAAAAAACACTATCTCCCTCTAATTGTTTTTCATTGATCCACACCAACAAGAACTTCTCAACATCTTCAGTTGTTTGTTATCTCTGTTTCATTAGCACATTTACCCCTTTAACAACATAGCTTCCTTGATTTCTTTTTTTCGTTGATGTGGATTTCCCACACATCCTGGTGAGATCGGCCACCTGTACGCCACTTTCATACTTAGCTACGACTTCTTTTTTTTGAATTCTACCATGTTTCTCGCCTTCTTTATCAAAGGGCTGGCACTCGGAACCTTCTTTGGCCCCATGGTGGCTTATTTAGCAGTCATACTCAATAAACAAGCACAAAAAACGATGGATTATTACGAAATGTTTCGGCTGAGCACTCGGGGTGATGCTCACTCAACGATAAACAAAGGCAGACTGAGTCACTTGGTGCTTGAATGATTCAGGTGGACATGTTCAGTACGGACCATTGTCAGCTCTACAAAAACCGAGGTGATATACAAAAACTGGGACAAAATTTCGACGGAAAACGTCGTCAAAAAACGAATCCTATGAAAACTGGGGCTTGCGAAAACTGAGGTACCACTTACGATTTAAATTTTTTTCTTCACCTCCAAAACACAAGTATTGTGTTTTTAATAATAAATCATAAACATATAAGTAGACTTTAGTGAATAAATGGCAGTTTTATTTATATACAGTGTTTCTTTGTTAGCCTTCCCTTCCTCTTGTGCTGTGCTCAGGATGTAATATACCTGTCTTCTGTTCCTCTACTGTGCCTTCTCTGCTCTACTTTCCCTACACACAAAATGCTGTGGGATAACATAACTAAAGGTCATGATTTATCTTTCTGACTCACATGCTCTATTACTTTAGTTCTTAATTGCTCTGCTGGCTTTGCACAAATATCTCTGTGAATGCTTAAAGATGAAACCAAAGCAGCTTAAGAGTACCACAGTCTTTAAGCCAAGAGTTACTACTGAGTCACTTGCAGAACCACACACAGTATTACCTAAGACTGCATGACTAAATATTTCCCCAAGATCACTAGCCTGATATTTGGAATTGAAAGTAAAAATTCCTGAGAGTTCAGCTATATATTCATTTGTTGCAGAAAAAATAATTTGTTAAGTGGGGACTGTCACCCCAGTTCCTAACCCATATTATTTCCCATTGAATTAATGTCTTGCCATTTGCAATTTTGTATTTAACAAGGTTTTCATGAAAGGTAACCCTTGTGAATGGTATGTGTGAATGCATGTGCACATGTGCACACACACACACAGTGTACATATTATCAAGTGGCCATATATAATGATGCATTCTTTGTTAGTTTGCTCAGGGTAGACTATGATGGCAGATCATACAAAATTAGTGTGTAATCTGAGCATATATGTTCTAATAATGAAGGACTTCTGGGTCATGGGAAGATAATGCATATCAACATTTTAACAGAATATTACAATGATTTTTTTAAAAATTTGCATTGTAATCATTGAGAATAAAATTCTCTGAATGTTTACCACACTGCAGCAGTGTTAAGTCTCTGAATTTATAAATTGGTTTTATGGCATTAATACTTTAATGTTGGTCATATTAAAATTATTAATCTTGTATTGTTAAAAACAGTTATTATTCATTATTGGTATATTTTTATTTTGTTTATTGTCAGATAGACTGATACACAGTACAGTGTGTAGTAGACACCTGTTATTTAAGTCTTAAATTTCTATGCCTGTCATAAAGTAGTTGCTCATGAATTACATTTATTAATTACACCAGACCCTCATATTACAAGATTTATTTGGCACATTTTGGTTATTACACTATTGAAAAATTGCAGCATAATTTACGGTTTGCTGGAGGGGAAAAAATTTGGAGCGTTGCCCGTGGGATATTTCCCTAGCTCAGGCCACCGCCTGGCTGTGGGTGAGATCACTGTCTCTGTAGGGCTGCACCGGGCTTCAAGGCAGCAAAGGATCACCCCACCTTGCTCCTTTGCAGTAATGTGTCAGATGATTTCAAGTGTAAGCCCATGGTTATTTACTGTTCTCATTCTTTGAAAGGTGTAGATAAAAACACCTTACCAGTAATTTGGAGGTCAAAACAGTCAGCCTGGATGACAAGAGGAAATATTTATTGACTGGTTTAAGCATCACTTTATTCCTGAAGTCAAGTTTTACCTGCACAACAAAAACCTTGCATTCAAGTTTCTCTTCATTCCTGATAATTCCCGTACTCATCCAGAAGCTTTGCTGGATGTGACCCCACATGTAAAAGTTGGTCTTTTTACCTCCAAATACATCTTTAATACAGCCACTGGATTGGGGAGTTATTAAGTCATTCAAGTGTAACTACACAAGAAAAGTGATGAAAAAATTAGTTGCATCAGTGGTCTCTGACTTCAACCTGGCAGTACCAAGCTTCTGGAATAATGTATAATGTACTGCAGGGTAAAAGAAGCCAGAGATCCATTGCAGAATTTATGCACGCTTCAATACAACTTTAGAACCTCAGCCATCCACTTCTGCCGACAACCAACAACCATTCACCTCTTCAGTCAGTGACATACACCAGCAACCACAATTTAAGGTAAATATTATTTCTGTTGCATATTTAGTCGTAAGCAACAAAAACAACATTATCATTTTTATTTTTGTAAGATCTGGATATCTAAAAAAAGTTGTTTGGCTTTTTTTTTTTTTTTTTGGGGGGGGGGGGTGTCCCAGGAACATTACCCTATTTTTCCCATAAGTTCTTCAGTTTATATGACGTGGATTTATCTAACATGCCATTTTCAGGACTGTAACTACTGTGTAATATGAGGGTCTACTGTATTTCTGGGGATAATATCTTAGGCTAATGGAACTTACATATTAAAGAAGAAAATGTTTCCTATGTATAACAGAGGGTCAAAAATTATATCCAATACCACAGTATTAAACTTTTATTATGTAGTATAGTCATACCTTGTTAATACGGCTTTTGAGCTCTTCGCTAATACTGCGATTTTTAATTATATTCACATTTAATATTTTTGGTGCTTGCCTTGCTCTTAAGATGCTTTTCATCAATTTTCAAAAAAAAAAAATAATTATTATTTTTGCTTTTGCATCATTTTATAAGCCTAGTACTATTGTTCACTTAAGTGATAGTGTAAACATATTTTAGGCTTTTATGTGTACTGGTAAGTGAAACAAAAGGCTGTGATTTACTTTAAGGCAATATTCGCTTTATGGTGGCTGTCTGGAACCTAACCTGCCGTGTTAGTGAGGTATGCTGTATGTACTTCAAACAATGTTTGATTTTGAGGGATTTCAGGATTAGAAATATCAGACTTAAGAGTTTATATTTATGTTTACATGTGATTTTGTTACGATAATACTGTATTGTATTACAGTATCTCATTTACATAAAAAAACTGAGATCTCCAAAACAGCAGATTAAAAAATGCTCACTCAGCTGGAATCCCCACTAGAGCAGACAGGCACTGCTCCTGATAAAACAGATAAGCGGGAGCATACTGTGTTAAACAAACTAAGCATGGTTTCATATTTTAATGTCTTATTAAATGTTTTTTGCCAGCTTATGTTAAGTTCTTTCCATTTTTTTTAATAATTACTGGTAAATTAAAATATTTAAAAGTCTTTAATAAAAAGTGCTGTACAAGATAAATGACAAATTGGACCTTGTGTACTGAATTGGGTTTCTTGTATAAAAATTTTAAAGTGACTTATTCATCTTATTTGTTGGCCAATCTTTCATATTCAACATTTGTAACTTTTATGATTGTGTTCTGTTCCAGCGCATGTTAAGAGAAAACATGAAGTGTATTATATCGTGCCTTTAATTTGTATGTTGTGGACTTCACTGTAAAATAATCATTCTTTTATTACAGCATGTTTCCAAAAATGGGGCAGGCAGTTCCATTTCTGTATGCCTAAGATTTCATAAATATTTTAATACTGTATTTGTTACTCTCAGTTAGGTTTGTTTAATTTAACATATATGAACCCATATTTCCATATAATTACCCAATAAGAAATTAAAAAAAAATAAGAAGCTTGCCTCTAGCAGCAAGAGGAGTTACCTCAAGCTTTTAACCTGTTAACTGTCCAAACGTAGATCTTCATTCTTACTGCCAGTGCTCTGAATATTTTGAAAAATAATTTTTTTTTTAAATTAAAGAGGGCAGTTTTCTGTGTAATAACCCCCCCCCCCCCAAAAAAAAAAAAATTAGGGTCAGTACTTACCGAGATATGAGACTGTGAAGTTAGCGCTGGATGCTCACCCGACGACAATATGGAGTACTGCTGCTTACAGAAATGTTGCCGATAAACTTTTTTTTCTCTCTTTTTTAATTAATAAAACTTTTATGTTCTGATAATTACAATTTGTAGTAGTTCTCGTGATTTTATTGCCAATGTTTGTTCTAACACTAATATTAGGTACTGAAATAGTACTCAAATAGTCACAAACACACTGACAGGTAAACATTTTCACCTGCCTTGGTCACATACTATTGTCTAGAAATATATACAAAGTATTTATAAGTCCCAGCAATGTTTTAGACATGCTGGAGTATATATGAACCTCCTTGAAACACGGTGTAAGACCGAGTGTCACTCCACTGCTGACAGTGCAGTAGCGAGTGACATTGATGATCATGCACTGCCTTGGCTTTATTTGTTTTCACTGTTACACATAAACATGTCTGTCTAGCTCTGTCTCTGCTTGTGTCTCTTTGTCTGTCTCTCTTTCTGTCTTAGAGAGGGAGCCGCTCATGAACCAACAGGTATTACACATGATGCAGAGTTGTCGCATCTGATTCCTGAACAAGTGAATATGTGTTTTACTTGCCAGTCATGCTTATTATGCCTTATATCTACAAGCACAGTATAGCACTTTGTCTGGATTATTTTTGGGTTATCCTAGGTAATTTACACTATGTATAATACCTGTATTTATGTGTACCTGTCAGATAGACAGAGACAGACAGAAGATAGACAGAGATAGATAGAGACAGCCAAAGTCAATCAGTCACCCACCTGGCTAGCCAGCTGGCCTGCCAAACACGTATTACCTGTTCCAGAATCGTTTCTCTTTACTTAGGGCATAGGTTATAGGACATTATGGCAGGATAACACTACCAATGGTATCAAAATTGAAAGGATGTTACACAAATGTTGCACATGGGTTATTATCGAGGTTTTTGATATTTCCTTGACCCCTTGTGGGGTCATCATCACTTTCCTTTTTAAAGGGGAGTGTTAATACGACATGACATCAGTGAATTCCTGGTGTTTGCCATGCTGTTTGCTCTAGCTGACACTCAGTTTAACTGGTGCTCCCACAAGGGAGTCCCAGATTTTTTTAATACTGCACACACACTGTGTTAAGACCCATTATGTACTGACCCGGCATATCAGGCCAATCGTGCCAAACTTGGAGGCAGGAAAAATAAAACATTGATCTACGTTTGGAGTGCTAGCAATAAGAACTCAGAGAGTAGATAAACTCTCGAAACTCTTCAAAGGTATATCAAAGGTATATCTATATTTGGACAGTTAAGGGGTTAAATGTGCATTTTCATATGCATGGTAAAAATGTGTATATGGGTTATATATTTTTACTATACATATATATAATGAGAGTAGACAGCAACCACTCAGGGAAGTACTACCATCCTGTCAAGTGAGTGTAAAACAAAAGCCTGTAATTGTTTTACATGATGCTAGGATTGTTGATGTCTTTTATCTGTCTCATAAACATGCAAGATTTCAGGTACATCTTGCTAGTTCTACTTACACTTTGGTCACACTACACATGCATGTACAAGCATATATATACACACACCCCTTTGGGTTTTCTTCTATTTTATTAATAGTTCTTGTTCTTGTTTATTTCCTCGTATCTCCATGGGGAAGTGGAATAGAATTCTTCCTCCATAAGCCATGCGTGTCGTAAGAGGCGACTAAAATGTTGGGAGCAAGGGGCTAGTAACCCCTTCTCCTGTATACATTACTAAAGTTAAAAAGAGAAACTTTTGTTTTTTCTTTTTTAGGCCACCCTGCCTTGGTGGGATAATGGGCAGTTTGTTGCAAGAAAGACAGAAAAGATATAATGAAACACATTTGAACCACACAATACAGTAATATATTTTATTGTATGGCTATAAAAATTTCAGATGTAAAACAGTTGCTGTTTGATTTGAAGTCTTTATTTAGCAACTTTATGACTTTTCATTTTAATAAGATAAAATATTGTGGCAAGCTTAAATTATGTATTATTATAATCATAACCATGCACTAAATCTGTAAGGGTGGCAAGCTTAAAATCTTGTCAAATTTATTTGTTTTGAGAGAGAAGTTTACCTTATATCATTCATGTGTAATTGTCAGAGTAGAAACAGTTCTAGGATTCACACAAGACAAAGTAAAGGTTATGTGACACCACAACACACACTGTTATATCACCCTTCCTTTCCTTGGATTGAACCTGACCACCTCTATATCCCAGTTGTTATGTGGCCCCCAGTAGGCTCAGCACTTCCTCCTGATTAATATAAAAAGTCTATAACCATCACATGTACATAAAATTTTAGTTACTTCAAAAGTAAATTGATAGTTTGATTGTAGAAAAAGTGAAAATGTATAGGGATTTATGCAATATAATAATTATCCAAACCAATCTTAATTTACACATTACGATTTAATTAAAAAGAAATAATTAGTAAGATTATCATTGTTGGTTTCAGGTATAAATTCATTAGTATTAGATAATTCCCACTGTACCTGTAATAGTAATACAGTACAGTATTTTGGCAATTCTGGTATTCCCGATGACTTTCAATGATGATGACTAAACAAGAATTCCGAACAGAAGCAACTCTGCATTGGGCAGGCCTAGATAAAAAAAATTGGGACTGAAATTGTACTCCTTGACAAAGGCTAGGGTTGTCTTTTCATCATTGCTCATATGACCATGAATATACAGTAGACAAGTGGAAAATAGTAGAGTTTCCAGTGTACATTATTATATTTCCCTTGAAGTTAGTGAAGGTCTTTTGCTCCAGGGACTGGAGCTATCTTTTCCTTCCTTGGATCAAAATTGAATGCTTCCTGTTCCCTAGGTGTTGTAATGGCACTACAGGTGTAGTGCTTTTCTAATGTATGTAGTGTCTGTTTATTTACCTTTTGTATGTTATATGTTATTTGTATGTTACTGTATGGGTGTTAGAGTAATGTAGGAAATAAGAGAATTATTTTTGATCCAAGGAGAGGGTAGCTCTAATTATTTGTGGATTAAGAACTTTGCCAGCATCAACACCATATTCCTTGATGGGAAGGTTCCACTGTACACTATTTCAAATTGGTTTATCTGTATATTATTAGAGCAGTCTAACAAAACCTGTTATTTAGCACAAAGTCCTCTTTTTTTATTCCATTATTTTATATTCTTTTCCATGATGTCAGTGGCTTTCCACAGTTTTCAAAGAATTTAGTGAATTGCAATTTATGCCATATAATAGGCCTCTGATTAACATTAATTATTCTGCATATTCAAAGAATGGTGCATGTCTCTCCATCCACCACATTATTTTTTTTATAATAGACAGGCCATATCACACTGAGGCAGGGTGACCTAAAAAGACTAACTAAAGTTTCTCATTTTATATTTAGTAATGTATACAGAAGGGTTTACTAGCCCCTTGCTCCCAGCATTTTAGTCGCCTCTCATGACACGCATGGCTTATGGAGGAAGAATTCTGTTCCACTTCCTCATGGAGATAAGAGGAAATATAGAAGAACAAGAACTATTAAGAAAATAGAAGAAAACCCAGATGGGTAAAGATATTTATACATATGTAGTGTGACCTAATTGTAAGTAGAAGCAGCAAGATATACCTGTTATCCCGCATGTTTATGAGACGGAAAAAAGACACCAGCGATCCTGCCATCATGTAAAACAATTACAGGTTTCTGTTTCACACTCACTTAGCAGGACGGTAGTACCTCCCTGGGTGGTACTACCATCCTTCCTGGTATTAGTTTGTCCATTCATGAAAAAAAATCTATCAAAGACCATCTGAAAGTTTTTTATCCAGCAAAATCCTTGATACCATTAAGGGGGGTTTAATCACAGGAATTGTACTTATCCTTGCTTTCCTTGGATGAGACATAATTGTCCCCTGGCTCTACATGATCCTTTCCCTGGGTGCTGTATGATCTTAGTGCGTTTACCACTTTTCCGTGAATATTACAATAATAATAATACATGATCCCTATTGATCTCTAGTAGAAATATTGCATAGTGAACTATTAGATACATTAGTACCAAGATCAGTTTTATTCCTTGAACATAAATGGATATATTTAGTTTCAGTAAAAAGTAGGTAATATTTAAAACCAAGAACAATGTTTTTACACAAAAATAATTACTGTAGTCTTCAAATATTTTTCTACAAGTGCATCCAAGAAAGGGGGAGGGATATTAATGCAAAATTATAATTTCCAGGCAGACATATTAAGACAGAGGGTAATAGGTGTTCAGGTTGGATTTTTATGCGAAATTCAGCACCTCATTAAATTTTCACCCTTACTGGTAAGGCCAGATCCAAGATATATGGTATTCTTTCATTTCTTTCAACATGCCGGCTGTATTAATAATAATTTATTTAAAATCTTTAAGTGCTATATTTAGTTTTCTGTCATAGGAATGTAAGAAAAAGGGAGCACTGCATTAGGCCTATTGGCCCATGCTAGGCAGGGTCAAGTCACACCCACTTCTGATTTACAAAAATCTTGGGACCTGTGTTTTGGAGTTGTGTGTTGTCAAGTCACCAGCCTTCACTGTTACTGGAACTCCTCTCACATGGTTTGTTATATAGGTAAGATTCCTGACCCTCAGCACATGCAGCAAATTCACATAAAGTAAACCCAGTATAACATAAAACAGAAATTCCTTCTGAGACTGCAAATATTTCTATATAAAAAAGATGAAAAATGGAGAGAAAATCCAAAGTTCAACCATAATCACTATACAGTACAATATAAAATCAGAGAAAAATTTCCACATTTCCCTACTGGTTTTTATAAAAAAAAAAAAATGATACCTGATAGGTATCAAATGGCCATATACCTAAAGTAAATGCAATTGGTCAAAAACAAACTAGATAGAAATATTCAAAATTTAATTGTAGCCTTCCTCCCTTTTCCCACCAACCAACCAGCCTGTCTGTCTGTCTGCATTGAAGTGTATACATTGTGAATAGGTATGGCTTACAAGTCAGTGTTGGCGACGTATTAATACGCCAAAATTCTAGCTGCTTCAGATCTAGCCAGATTATTATTATAATCAAAAAAAGAAGCGCTAAGCCACAAGGGCTATACAGCAGATCTAGCCAGAGAAAGTTGGTAGACCTACATGTGAGAGAATGGGTCTGCATGGTCAGTGTGTGCAGTATAAAAAAAATTATGCAACACGCAGTGCATAATGAGAAAAAAATCTCCGAACGTGTTTTTGGTTTAAAACGCCGACTCTGAGGTGTATTTTCATATGGTATTTATGGTTGTATTCTTGGTCTCATTTGATAGAATGAAAGATATATTACAGAAATAGAGATGATTTTGATTGGTTTTACAATGAAAAGTACCTTGAAATTGAGCTCGAAGTAGTGGAAATGTTTGATTTTTGCCGATGTTCAAGAGTAAACAAGAGTAAACTGCCCAATACGTTTCCAACTGGCCAGTCTAATACAATGTCATGAATGGGCTGACATATTTATACAATTATTACACAAATGCAGTAGTCTGCATAGCAGTAAATCTTCTTTCTTTTGTGTAAATAAAGATTCCAAATGGAAAGCAAGAGTAATATAAGAGGGGCCTGGAGACATAACTAATGAACAGAGAAAATGTTATTTTAGTGCTAGGAATGTCTGTAGTGTTTATTCTGGACCCTATTTTGTAATTAACATTTTTTAAATTTGTGTGAAATTGGCCAAATTGTCAATTTCTGACCACTTTATTGGGTAGTTGAAATTGGTAAATGGGCAGTTTCTTGTACTCAGTTGATAGAAACAAATGGAGTTTTAGCAATATAGCTATGAGTTTGGTTGACTGAGACAATGGAATTGGCTGAAAATAGGGCTCAAAGTGGGCAAAATCGCTGATGTGTATATATTGCTGAGACCGCTAGCTTCGCGAGTACGTAATTCCATATGTTTATCATCAAATTTTGTACTTTTGGTGTCATTTTGATTGGGAAAAGATTCTCTATCATTTCATAAGTTTTTTTTTTTTAAATTCTTCGACATTGAGAGCAAGATTGTAAGCAGGGGTCAATACAGTGACTTTGCAGTGTATTTTCGTATAGTTTTTATGGTTGAGCCCAAAGTATAGGAAATGTCTGACTTTTGCCAGTGTTCAAGAGTAAACAAATTACATCATGTGTCCAATACATGCCAACTGGTGGGTCTAATATGCATTTATGAATGTGCTGATATTATTTATATAATTATTAAAATATTGCCTAACAGTAAGTCTTCTATTTTTTGGTGTGGATAAAAATTCTTTGTGAACAAAAAATCAAAATGAAATTCATGGGTAAAGCCTGGAAATGTAACTAATGAACAGAAGAAATGTTATTTTAGTGCCAGGAGTGTCTGCATTGTTTACTTTGAAATTTGTATAAAATTGGCCAAATTAGCAGTTTCTGATCACTTTATTGGATAGTTGATTGTACTCAGTCATACAATAGAAGACATACTAGTAAAATGGCTAAGAATTTGGTCAACTGGAACAATATAATTGGCATAAAACAGGACTTAAAGTGGGCAAAATCACTGATGTGTAAATATTGCTGATACAGGAAAATTCGCATAAGCCTAATTTCGTCAATTTTCAATCAGTTTTTGTACTTTTTGTTTTATTATCTTCAGAAAAAGATTCTCTACCATTTTATAAGAAAAAATAACAAATTTTCTTATTTCTGAAAATTCTTGGACCCTGTGGACAAGTTTCAGATCAGGGGTCTGGACAATGAAAGGGTTAAAATAATGGGCAAAATCATTTTTATAAATTGCACCTCAGGCTCCTTTAATTTAAATGTATACTGCAATATAATTAAATTTTGTACAGTACTATTTTTTTGGTATACAGTCCTCTTCAAGGGGGGCTCCTTGGCACGGTGAAGAGGCTCTTGGTCTGAGGAATTAGACTTTTTGGTCTCCTTCCTCAGACCAAACCCAGTTACCCTCCAATCCCCCTTTCCTATCCCATCCTCGCCATTTCCCCTTTTTCCCTTTCCTCCTCCTCTCCATCCCTCCCCTGTTCCCTTCCCATTTTCAGCCTTTGGGATTCTTCCCACAGGCACTCTAGTTCCTAGTTTGCCGCGGAATCTGAATCACTTGGGGATGTCCCGATCCTTCTTTGGTCTCCTGGGGGGTGGCTTTGGGTGCCTTTCGGGTGATGGGTGTATCTCTGGAGGCTACCTTTCGGATTCCAGGGGGTGATGGCCAGAGGAGTCATGCTTTGTGGTGGGTGTCCAGCCACCCTCTCTTTTGTTCACTAAGATGGCTCGGTGGAGCTGTTGCTGTCCCGGATTGCTGGTTTACTGGCATGAAGGGTAGGGTATGACAGGTTCCATGCTGCATCTGCACTACTTGCTGTGCTGAGGTCCTTTTGGGTGTGAAGGGAGATTTACGGCCCTTTCATTCCTCCACATTCCCCCCTTTTTTCTTTTTTTTTTTATTTTTTATTTTTATTTTCTGTCCTTTTTTTTCTAAAAAAAAAAAAGAAAGGAGTGACCTAACTATGTAGTTCCCAATCCATAAACCTGCTCCCCCTGCACCCTGTTCTTGTCATAGGGGTTCGGACATTCTGACCCTGCCTCAATATTTGACCACTCTTCAGACATTTCTAATGTTCCTGTACCTTCTGCTGGTGCTGTTTTGACACTTGCTCCAGGTACCAGGGTTTCAACTGATTCCTTCGATACATCTGACCTCCGATCTTCTTTGACTATGCTTCCGGCTTCTCCCTCTATGGTGCGGCAATTTTTGGACCGCCTGCCTGTCCCACATGCCCAAGACCGTTACCTGATGATACTTCTTTGCTTCCTTCTCATTCTACTCAGAAAAGACCGGAATGTCACGCACTCCCTTTACACGCTATGTTTCAAAATAGTACACAGTGGACTAAGTTTTTTGCTCTATGACCGACTTCTTCTACTGCCTATCTTTCTGTCCAACATGGCAAGGCTCTCCTATGCCATGTTGGTAGAGATACATCCTTTCATGCTCTCGAGCAGTACACACATCATCACTGTCCAGAATGCTAACCAAGCTCACGATTTTTCTCTCCTTACAACTATTGATACTATTCCTGTAACTATTGAAAAACATCATTCCCTCAATTCTTGTAGTGGTACTATCATTCTCCCCTATACCAGTGTCCAACAGAGTTTCCAGACGTGTGGCAATGACATTCTGGAACAGCTAAAACTCCAAGACCTCCCAATCTTCAAAGTAGACACTTATGTCCTCCCTGCTTCCGGCTCGCAATGTAGCTCGCTTAAATTTTGACTGCTGTGAGCTTCCATCCTCTGTATATATAGTGGGACACCGTTTACAAGTTCGGAAGGTGATCCCTACACCGCAACAGTGTAGAAATTGCTGGCGTTTTGGTCCTCCAGTGAAATATTGCAGGTCCATCGCCAAATGCCCAGTCTGTGGTGCCAATACTCACCAGTTGACGTGTATTGGATGCTTGGCATGATTTGTTTACTTTTGAACTTTGTTAAAATCGAACATTTCTGCTACTTTGAGCTCAATTTCAAGGTACTTTTCATTGTAAAACCAGTCAAAATCATCTCAATTTCTGTAATATGTCTTCCATTCCATAAAATGAGACCAAGAAAACTAGAATACAACAATAAATACCATACGAAAATACAGTGCAAAGTCGCTGTTTTATTCCAAAAAAGCGGTCAAAGTTTTTTTTTTTTCTCATTATGCACTGTGTGCTGCAGGATTTTTTTTTTATACTGCACACACTGACCACATTGACCCATTCTTTCATATGTAGGCCTACCAGCTTTCTCCCACTAGATTTGAGGGCGCTAAAATTTAGGCGTACTAGTACGTCAAAAACCCTGGGTCGTAAGCCGTACTAGTACGGCCGAAACCCTCAAAGGGTTAATCCATGTATGATATTTTTTCAAAATTATATAATAAACATGATACATAACATATAAAGATAATAAATACACTCCACAGTAGAATAAACATAAACATGAGATGTAGCCAGACGACTTGTACGAGTGATGCCATATTAGTAATGATAATAATAATACTCAACAATAATCACCGAGTCTCATTAAATGTCGTATATTACGTTAATATACACATATTCATTAATCCATCTATGATATTTTTTCATTATTATTATAATCAAAAAGAAGCGCTAAGCCACAAGGGCTATACGGCGATTTTTTTTTTCTCAAAATCGTGTAATAAACATGATACATAAGATATAAAGATGATAAACATGAGATGTGGTAGCCAGACGACTTGTACAAGTGACGGTAAGAATAACGATTTCTCTAGTGCACCAATATTATTTATACCATTTTTTACACTAATGCAGTAGTCTGCATAACAGTAAATCTATTTTTTGTGAGAATAAAAATTCAAAGTGGAAAGCAAAAGAATGTAAGAGGGCCCTCGCCTTGAGACTTGACTAATGAACAGAGGAAATGTCATTTTAATGCCAGGAATGTCTTTCTTGTTTATTCTGGACCCTATTCAGAAATTGGCATCTTTTGAAATTTGTGTGAAATTGGCAAAATTGCTAAATTCTGACCATTGTACTGGATAGTTGAAAATGGTAAATGGGTTGTTTCTTGCACTCATTCATTCGATAGAAAAAATGGAGTTCTAGCAAAATAGTCATGTTTTTTGTCGACTAGTACAGGGGAATTGGCCAAAAATTGGGCTCAAAGTGGGCAAAATCGCCGATGCGTAAACATCGCCGAGACCGCTAACCTTGCGAGAGCATAATTCCGTAAGTTTTCTATCAAATTTCATACTTTTGGTGTCATTATGATCGGGAAAAGATTCTCTATCTTTTCATAAGAAAAACAATTTTTTTTTTTAACCCTTAAATGGTCCAAACGTATATATACATTTTTTCAACATCTGAAAGTATGTAAAAAAATATAGATCATTTTTTTTTTTGTTATATTTGAAAATATGTAAAAAAAGTAGATCTACTTTTGGAGCACTACGAACTGGAATGTCGATCTGTTTGGACCGTTTAAGGGTTAAATTTGGCCGACTTTGAGAACAAGTCTCGGAGAGGGCCTGTCGACCCTCAAAGGGTTAATGAAAGTGTAGATATTAACGTAATATACGACATTTAATGAGACTCAATGATTATTATTGAGTATTATTATCATTACTAATATGGCATCTCGAGACATAAGACACACTTAATGATTTTAATGTGTACTTGCATACCAGCACAGTGTGTAAGTTTATTTAGGTACAGGTATACATAAGTATAATTATCAGAGTATATATAAAATAACTTTTAAAAGCACTTGAAATTTTGGAGTTTCCAGACACAGTGGAGAGATGGTAGCGCTTACGGAGCTCATGGAGAATGTAAACAAACTGGGTGGGATGCGGTGACCGTATTAGAAAGTTAGGTGGGGGAGCCGTATAGCGAGTTTAGGTCATACACCTACCATCCGACTTACGACCTGCTCGACATACGACTGTTTTTTATGCCAAATTTATGGGAAATAAACAAGTGTTTGTGTTGTACACAGTGTTTATCCTAAACCTTACAGTATAAAATACAGTACTAACAGCATTAGAAGTAAAGTAAAACATTAAATACCAAAATAAAGTCATTACAAAAATGTTATGTTGATATTCAGTAGTAAAGTTCGCCTTACGACCGGTTTCTTGGAACCAAACTCAGTCGTAAGTCGGATAGTAGGTGTAATTTGAAATGACTGTTAGCGGAACGCCATAAAGCGGGGCCCTACTGTAATTATAATTTGGTATATTTTTTTTTTTTATTTTTAAACATTCTGATTTAATGAACACTCAGACACTTCCCTAGTCTGTTATATGGAGGGTTTATTGCTGTTACCATTCTCTACACTCATCCCTGACTGTGTTGTAGCAACCCAAGTTTCTCTGACTGGGTGTCCATTTTATTTTGCCTTGGCAGACACTTAAATTATAAAACAACTATAGGATCTTATTAAATATAGATTCATTGGATTTCCAGTGCCCAAATCTGCTTTCTTTTTCTTGTTTTTATTTGAAAAGATACTACAAATCAGATTAGTGGTATTTAAGGAGATACCATTAGAGCAGCAAGTGGTGGTGGGTGAGGGTTGAAGCATGTAGACAGTTACTGGTGGAAATGGGACTGCATAAGTGAATTTGTATAAAGCAAAGGAAACCTGTATTATATTTATGGGAAGCGTTGAACCTGTTAGTCATACAGCACCTTGGAAGTAGTAGGGGATGGAGTTCATCAGGTTTATTATGAAGGGGAGTATAACTCCTGATACTTGGATCAGGATCAGCAAAGTACCCCTCCCCCTGACAGTTGAGATTCAAAAAAAATTGCAATGTGTATAAATTTTTATGCAATCTTTCTTAAGCTCTGGCTTAAGAAAGATTGCTTATTACTATTATGATCACATGTTTACATGTTGACTTTTGGCATGTACATAAAGTACACACAGATGTAGTTTAAATATTTTGCCAGAGATATCTGACATACAATGAGAAGCATACATAACATCACTTAAGTACTTCAAGAAAGTTGTGATTAATATTCATTAAACAACAAATCCTGTGGATGAGCTTCAATTACAATGGTGCGTGATATAATACACATTCAGGCTCAATCCTGAGAGTACAGCACCAGGGTTTTATTTTTAGGAAACTGAACCATCACCAATCTTTCCATGTTTCCTGAAAAAAATGTCATTGTTGCATATTTCTTTTATCTTGTACAGTATGTTTGTGACAGACAGTGTATTAGTAGGTTGTACTACTCATTATACTCTACTTTTTAAATGAAGGGTTACTGTTATTTACCATGTTACAATTTTATATGACAGATACTGATAGTAACAACTCTTATGACATGACTAGATACTTTTTAATAAAAAAAAAAATACAAATGAATAAAAAATATATTAAACATTACCCTCCTAGAAGTTCAATGTCTGAAGTTAATTAGTGACTGTCATTTTGTCTTATATAAAAATTGTGTAAAAAGACATTTTTGTATAAATGTAAATATTTACGTAATATAAAATAAAAAATAAGATCTTTTATCCTGTCACCCCTATATTTTTTTTTTAGCTTGATAACAAATGTACATACATTTAATTTCTTAGTCATGACAAAAGAATAAGTGCAAATCATTTAACAGAGCAAGGAGAGACTAGTGTCCTCTGGGAAGTATCAGACATTATTGATTGTAAAACATCTTGTGCAAATTAAACTTTTAAGTGAGGTGATCTTTTTTTACAAAACTATTTCTATTAAATTTGATTTGATCAAATAAAAGAGAAACAAATTCCAATTCCTTTCATGATTATATTATTGCATCTTGACTTAATATATGAAGATTATCAAATTACTGTTATTCCTATTTTTTTGTGCTTTATTCTTGTGTACATCACATGTTCATGTATTCATATGCTGTAAATTGTATATAAATAAAAGTTACAAAATTCTGGGTAAAATTACTTTTATATGCACATATTAGAAATAATCACACACAGTATTACCTTGATTGAAGGTAACTTCAAATAATGTATTTGACATAACAGACTGCAAAATTTAAGTTCATTTCATCCTAGGAGAGAAAAAAAAGTCAATTTAGTTTTGCTCATATATATTTTTTGGGATGAGTTTAAATGCAGCAAAAGCTGCATATTAATTTTTGCTGACTTCTTGTACATTCCTGTTTTATAAAACAAAAAAAAAAAGAAAAGAAAAGAGTGGCAATATTTCCACTACAATAAATTAATCTTTACATTATACTTGTTTCTTTACCATACTTGTTTGCTTGTGATTCTTCATCACTTTTGTGGTTAACCTCATCCTTCATAAACCCATCCACTGACAAGTCTACTTCTAAATGTATTCAGATATTTGGGAGTAGACTTGTCAGCAGATGGGTTTGTGAAGGATGAAATTAGCCTTAGAAATGATGAAGGAAAAAAGATGAGTGGAGCTTTGAGGTATCTGCAGAGACAAAAAAAAAAACCTTATCAGTGGAGACAAAGAACAGAATGTACGAGAGTACAGTGGTACCAACACTTTCATATGGGTGTGAAGCTTGGGTTGTAAATGCTGCAATGAGGCAGTGGAGATGTCCTAAGGGCAATGTGTGGTGCAAATATGATGCAGAGAATTCATAGTATGGAAATTAGGTGTGGAATTATTAAAAGTATTCAGAGTGCTGAAGAGGGGTTGTTGAGGTGGTTTGGTCATTTAGAGAGATGGAGCAAAATAAGATGACTTAATGAGTGTATAAATCTGTAGTGGAGGGGAGGAGGGGTAGGGGTCATTCTAGGACAGGATAGAGGGAGGGGGTAAAAGAAATTTCATGTGCAGGGGCCTAAACATGCAGCAAGCATGCGTGAGCATGTTAGGATAGGAGTGAATGGAGACAAATGGTTTTTGGGACCTGACAAGCTGTTGGAGTGTGAGCAGGGTAATATTTTATGAAGGGATTCAGGGAAACCGGTTAGCCGGACTTGAGTCCGGGAAATGTGAAGTACAATGCCTGCACTTCAAAGGAGGGGTTTGGAATATTGGCAGTTTGGAGGGATATCTAAGCTGTCATATTTGAGCACCTTTGCAAAGACAATACTCACCTAATTGCTACTAGGTCCTCTCTCTGCTCCATGAGCTTTATCATAAAAGCTATGTATGGTTCCTGCCTCCACTACCTCACTTGCTAGGCTATTCCACTTCCTGACTACTCTATGAATGAAGAAATACTTCCTAACATCCCTTTGACTCATCTGGGTCTTCAACTTCCAATTGTGACCCCTTGTTTCTGTGTCCCTGTTATGTTGTTGTTCCTTATTACTTTGATAGTAAGGTTCTCACTACATGTTCTAGTGTGGGGTAGCTTTTCACATAAAGGCCTTATCAGTGTAGGATAATACTTACATTCATGATTGATCATCCTCAGTGTCTCTGAAATCCATTCACCAGCCCTTCCAATAGGTTATTTAAACTACGTTTACAAAACTAGGGAATATATATTCTAGATAGATACATACAGAATATACAAAACATAAGTCTACATACTCCCTAGCTGCTCTCCTAGGAACAGCCCACATGGTGCATCTCCACAATTTGCCCTTCTTTCTACTTGACTAATCTCTGGACTAACCAGTGTTTTGACACACTTTAGTCACCCTGGGTATGGTGGCTACAACTTAAGGTATAAAACTCACCCCTGGGGCACACATAATGCCCAAAAATAAAAAGAAGGACCCAGAGGTCCTACTAGCTTGAAGCCAACAAGGGGAGTCAGGGGCCTAGCTAAGCTCCTCCCACACCCACCAAAACAACAAAAGACTGTTGCCAAGCACAATTCTCTAGTTACCACAACTCTACCACACCTTATTTTACTTTTACAAAAAGCAATACAACTTTATAAACTACTTATTTAAATTGTGTGTGTGTCTATAGTATAACTTATTATATTGAGAAAAAACAGGCTTGACTCAGCTGCCTTACAGCCATAAGGGTGATCTGCCCTTATGACATTTAAGGCTGAGTCCCCATCAATTCAATATAATTAGGTATTCCAGAGTAACTGTTGGGTCCCATAGTCTCATAACACCTCCACCTCCAGACAAAGTCTCACAAAAGCTAGCCGTGTACCTCAGGATACAGCTAGTAAAAAAAAATTATGGACCCCCACCTTATGATATTAATCCGTTCCTGAGAGCTCTTCGTAAGCCGAAATTATTGTCAGCCGAATTAATTTTCCCCATAAGAAATAATGGAAATCAAATTAATCTGTTCCTGACACCCCAAAGTATGAAAAGAAAAATTTTTTTACCACATGACATATTAATTTTAATACACACAAACTGAAGAAGACATATACAATTACTACTCTACTAAGAAGAGAATACATGACACTTACCTTTATTGAAGATCTGGTGATGATTGATGGGATGGGAGTAGGGGAGTGTGTGGAAGTTATTGTTTAGAAGGGGAATCCCCTTCCATTAGGACTTGAGGTAGCAAGTCCTTTTCTGGGGTTACTTCTTCTTTTAATGCCACTAGGACCAGCTTGAGAGTCACTGGACCTCTGTCGCACAACAAATCTGTCCTTAGAGCTCTGTACCTCCTGTTCCTTTAAGACTTTCCTAAAATGGGCCATAACATTGTCATTGTACAGGTTGCCAACACAGCTTGCAGTAGCTGTGTCAGGGTGATTTTCATCTGTAAAGGTTTGCAATTCAACCCACTTTGCACACATTTCCTTAATCTTTGAAGTAGGCAACTAACTCAATTTCTCTCTCCCCTCCTCTGAAGTAGTTTCCCCAGGTCTGGCCTCTTGCTGTTGAAGATGATCTTGCAGCTCATCAGTGGTTAGTTCTTCACTGTCCTCCTCCACCAACTCTTCCACATCCTCCTCACTAACCTCCAACCCCAAGGACTTCCCCAATGCCACAATGGATTCCACAACTGGCATACGCTTCTCAGGGTTAGCCCCAAACCCCTCAAAATCCCTTTCTTCTACACACTGTGGCCACAGTTTCTTCCAAGCCTTACCTATAAGGTTTACACAACTGAGGATAATAAAGTGATCTTTCCAAAACTCTTTTAGAGTCAATTGAGTGTCTGTGGTCACTTCAAAGCACTTTTGAAACATAGCTTTTGTGTAGAGTTTTTTGAAGTTTGAAATGACCTGCTGGTCCATGGGCTGCAGGAGAGGAGTGGTATTAGGAGGCAAAAAGCTTGACCTTAATGAAGCTCATGTCCCCAGAAAGTTGCTCTGCCAAGTCTGAAGGATGACCAGGAGCATTGTCTAATACCAGGAGGCATTTAAGGTCCAATTTCTTTTCCATTAGGTAATTTTTCACAGTGGGGGCAAATGCATGGTGTAACCAGTCATAGAAAAAGTCCCTAGTGACCCATGCCTTACTGTTTGCCCTCCACAGCACACACAAATTAGCCTTGAGGACACTGTTTTGCCTGAATGCTCTGGGAGTTTCAGAGTGATACACCAATAAAGCATTAGCACACATCAAAAGAGTAAGCCTGTCTTTCATAGGCTTATGTTCTGGGAGTGCCTTTTTCTCCTGAGTAATGTAGGTCCTGCTTGGCATTTTCTTCCAAAACAGGCCTGTTTTGTCGCAATTAAACACTTGTTCAGGTCTCAATTCTTCATTGTCTATGTACTCCTTGAATTCCTTCACATATTTTTCAGCCGCTTTTTGGTCCGAACTGGCAGCCTCACCATGCCTTATCACACTATGTATGCCACTACGATTCTTAAATCTCTCAAACCAACCTTTGCTGGCCTTAAATTCACTCACATCACCACTAGTTGCAGGCATTTTTCTAATTAAATCATCATGAAACTTCCTAGTCTTTTCACATATGATCGCTTGAGAGATGCTAACTCCTTCTATCTGTTTTTCGTTTATCCACACCAACAACAGTCTCTCAACATCTTCTATCACTTGCGATCTCTGTTTCGAAAACAAACTTGCACCTTTTGGAAGAACAGCTTCCTTGATTGCCATTTTGTTGGCCAAGATAGTAGCGGTGGTTGATTGGGGTTTGGTATACAACCTGGCCAGCTCCGAGACACGCACTCCACTTTCGTACTTAGCAATTATCTCTTTCTTCATTTCCATAGTAATTTTCACCTTTTTTACCACAGGGTTGGCACTAGAAGCTTTCTTGGGGCCCATGGTGACTTATTTTGCAGTTACAAGCACTAAAAACACTGTGATAATATGAAATGTACCGAATGTATGCTTAGATGTGACCGCACTGGCTGGCTTGTAAACACTGGCACCCACAGGGCAACTGAGGCCACACGTGGGATGCGTCCCGGACAAATCACGTAAGGTGAGTTTATCGTGAGGCGAGGCAAAATTTTTGCATTAAAATGCTTAGTATGGCGGATTTAGCATAACTCGGTACGTTCGTAAGGCGGGGGTCCATTGTATTGCTTTAGCCTGAAGGTGGTTAGCAAGACTATTAGAAATGTTACATATTTCCCAGCACCATAACTACTCTTCACTTTACTGTTATTTACAACAAGGAGACATACTACATGGCAATCTACAAATATTTGTGGCTCCACTGAATCTTTCCAGATTACACATGCACTTCCACCCCATACCATATAAAACCCTGAAAGGAACAATACTGGAACAGATTGCAGAATTTTTTAGAAAAGCATTTTAACCATACCCACATACTCAAGGGTGTAACTATTTACAATTTTAGTGGCTTTTAAAACATAATGCACATTACAATGCAAGAATTGCACACAATGCCCACTGTGAAAGCCTGCACCGACAGGCCCGTGCCTCTGCTGCAGTAATCCAGCAAGCAACTGGTACTCCAGGATGGCATCTTCCTGATCAGGAGACGAGAGTAGATCCAAACCCAGAGCAGTCAGGTGTACACCAGGCAGGAAACTTCACAAAACATGTCAAGGTATCTCTCACTTGGTGGCCGGGCCAAACAGTGAGACTTAAAATCAACACTCACGATCTTTAACATGGTCAGGCACTCAAGCCCATCTTCCGAGGTCCCACTCCACACAGATCCTCCAACTTTATGAAGAGGAGGCTGACAGAACATGGAGGGGTCCAAGGGACCACAAAGGCAAATTGTCAGGCCGTTTCGTACATAGAGCACCAAGACACAATATACCACATACCTTCCTGAACGTCTCATGCTATCGAAGGTTGTCAACCTCTGCCTCAAGTCACAAATACGTACATATACACTGAACCTCGTCACACTTTTGACTCCAAC